ATAATATACTCATAAGTAGTTCATAAGAGATAATATAAAAAAAGTACTTTAAATCAAGAATTTTGACCATTTTTTGGATTAAATTATTTATATATTAAATCATATATAGCTTTACGACATTTAATATAATAAAAAGTAAAAGTCAAATAAAATATTTACAAATCGCATGAATTACTATAAAATGTAATTATTTTTCAAATATAATTGTCTTTTCATGTGTTTCTCAAAAAATAAATTTTATTAAACTTATAGTTAATTATAATATCATTTAATAATTATTTAAAATATATTTGTTAATCAGTCCCTATGTGTGCTCCAGTACAATTTGATTACTTATTTCTCAATGTAATTAATTAATTATGTATTGAATAATGATTTGAATGTTTTGTAATTATAAAATTTGATGTATTTATAATATTTAAAATATAATGTCACAAGTTATATCTATTTATGAGTAATAAATATTATAATAAAATTTATTTAATTATTGATAAAAAAATCAAAAATTAATTTTAATTTATGTGTGTGGGTGATATTATGGAAAATTAAAAATTAGTTTGATTGTTTCAAAAAAGGATTTTTATTTTATAATCCTATTAGAATATTTCAATATTTATAATACTATACAATACTATGAATTCAATAATAAAGCATTCATTTAAAGTGGTGTTTATTATTAAATTAATTGTTAAAGTAAATTCAATATATAAAACTCTTATCACCTATTATTTCTAATTATTATAACTGTAATAATAATTTTATCAATAGGTATTTTAAACAATAAATACTTATAGATATAAAATTCATGTGATTTTCAGTCACCAAACTCTCGTTAAAAGATTCATTAAGTTATTCAATAAATACATCCAAGATACTTCATTTATAGATCAACTTGATATCAGGCAATATTTATAATATCATTTGAATCATGATAAATAAAATTATATAATTATTGATACAATAATCCCATATAAAATTATAATTTAAGTTAACTGTATGCTTTATATAAAAATATTACTGATACCTTATCATATTTTCAATGACATATTATTTCAATTCAATATATAATTGTCAGCCATAATGTAGTTTTATTTATAAATGCTTTCACTTTTAATTATTATTTTTAATATACAGTAGTTTTAGTTATAATTTAGTTGTAATATAATATATATATTCCGCATACATATAAAATGTCTACACTATTTGATAAGTTTAGCAGTTTTGATACGATTGAAGCGACTATTAAGCAAGAAATCAAATTATTTCACGTTTTCAATGACAGTAAAAACAATAAGAATATACTATTTGTTACAAACAATGATAACGTTTACGGTTTTGGTGGCAATTGGAACGGAGGTCTGGGTTTGGGTCACAACACGGCCGTCAATAGACCGCAAATTATTCCCGAATTATGGGGGAAAGGGATCCAACAGTTTATCAATGGATTCGACTTTGTGTTGGCTATCACTCGCAACCACCACGTGTACAGTTGGGGTGAAAATGATTTTGGACAATTAGGCCGGGGTGCTAGACAAAGGGATATATATTTCAAACCTGAAAGCATATCGTATTTAAATAACAAGAATATAATGCAAATATGCTGTGGTATGCATCACTCGCTGGCCCTCACCACTGATGGACAGGTGTACGGGTGGGGCAGTTATGACGGGAATTATTATGACGCTAATAATGAAGTCTCCGAAACATTTCCACCAATATTATTCGACTTTGAGAATAATTATCAAATAAAAAGTATTTTCTGTTCAAAGTATAGTGCATTTGCCGTTACTATCGATGGTATGGCATTCAGTTGGGGTGATAATATTGACTATCAATTGGGACATTGGGACACTTCGATAAGAATCTTATCCCCGAAACTAATACCAAATTTAAATAATATTAAATGCATCAGCTCACTATTCACGTCGGAAAAGCAATTGACACATTTTCTAACAAATGAAAATGTAATATATTTTTGCGGACAGTATATGGATAATGATAATAAAATGAAAATGCACAAAACTCCCATACAATTTCCATTGCCATTACATGTTAAACAATTCACTGATTTTAATTCGTACCACATAGATGATGGATTGATCATTTCAAAAAATAAGTCCATTTGCAAGCTTATTTTACCGAACGAGCTTAAAACATACATAAATAATTATGATAATTTTATCGATTATTATGCTAGTGAGCTACAAATTAGCTATAATACTTTATACATTGACAATAAACTGGAAAACTCTACTGAAACAGAACCGGAATTAAATTCAATGGTTGTCCCAAAACTGCGATTCAAAAAACCTAATAAATCAGAAACTAATACACAAAATGAAGGTATAAATAAAATATATTCTATGAAATTACAATTATTTCTATTTTAAATAGTTTCATCAAAAGGAAACCATTCGTATGAAAATCTTTATAAAACCCTTTTCGAAGAGTTGTCACCAATAGGTTCGGGAGGTTTCGGAACAGTATTTAAAGTGAAGCATAGATTCGATGAACAGATATATGCCGTCAAAAGAGTGGAATTTCAGAGTACCTACAAAATGAATTTAATTTTTGAAAATTTAATTTAATTTTTTTTAGATTTAACTGACGATTATCTTAAAGACATTTTGAATGAAGTCAAACAATTAGGAAAAGTTCGCTCAGAATATGTGGTCCAGTATTACAACTCATGGCCAGAAAGCAAACATCTTTACATTCAGATGGAATTTTGTTCACAGAATTTGCGGAATATTCTTGAAGTTAAACCACAAGTATTTAACAGAGAATTAGGGCAACCTATGGATTATGTCGAGTATTTCATTTCGTGTGAAATATTGCGACAAATCTTAGAAAGTGTTCAGTATTTGCATAAATTGAATCCACAGATCATTCACAGAGACCTCAAACCAGAAAACATATTAATCGCCGAAAATGTAATTAACGGTAGATTTATTAAATTATGCGACTTTGGTTTGGCTACAATTCACGACAAAGAACTCAATTATATGACTCGTGATAAACACTCAACAGGTGTGGGCACTGTAAAGTACCAGGCCCCAGAGATAGCCCAGGGTGCTGCATATGGGAATAAAGTAGACATTTATAGTATTGCATTAATTGGCGCTGAAATATTTGAATTTGACTTATTTTTTGTTGACCCTGCTAAGTATGCAGTTTAGTTATTTATGGTAATATAGTGTATATTAATTTCTTTTTTATTCATGTATAATATCTAGTTCTGAAAGCCTGTACTCCGGGAATGAAATCCTAAACACAAAAGTAAATGAATTGCAAAACATATTGCAGTCAATGGTTACCCACATCTGGAACCGACGGCCTGACTGTTCCCGTGTTTTACACAAATATAACGATTGGGCTATCGATGAGATGATTGTCATCGACACAAACATCAACGAATTGACCACATTTATCAATTCACCCACATCAAATTTATTTAATAACATTATAACTTATAAGTTTAAAAATTACATGTCCAATGAGCAATCGGGCACCGGGTGCGCACAGGCACCTGCACCCACCAGCACTGTATGACTACGTAGCCGCCGTCAATGAGATCAGGGTCTATGTGGGGGCCCGTATGTGAGAGCCGACAGAAACAATATATTGTCACACATATAGTCATAATAACTACACTACAGTACACTTTATAATGACATACTTCACGATATCTTATCATACCTTTCCCTTTAAGATCCCCGAGAAATATGTGACAAAAATTAATTATTTTTTGGGTTAATCTTAGTGTATGTGTCGATACATGTCAGGGATGCCGAATACAGGGGCTGTCATATCATGAGACTTATACAGTACTAACATTACAATATAATACAGTTTAACAGTAATATAAATTTAATACAAATAAGCTACTACAGGTATATTAATATGTACAGTATGTTCAATGTGTCTAGCATATTTATGCCAAATACTACTATTATAGTCTCTAAATTATGAAGTGCTTGATATCCCTGACCCCTCAGACACTGGGATGGGATGTAAAATATTTTACATTTAATACAAACCTAATATGAAATCATATATTTAGTGAAAAGTAATCGCATTTTTGTCACAAATAACTGCACTTTATATCCCATAATATACTCATAAGTAGTTCATAAGAGATAATATAAAAAAAGTACTTTAAATCAAGAATTTTGACCATTTTTTGGATTAAATTATTTATATATTAAATCATATATAGCTTTACGACATTTAATATTCATTGAAACCTAATGGACTGTATAATGAAACATATATTTCCTGGTAATCCCTGTCCACTGTAGTCGCGGGCACGTGTCTACCCATATATGGCGTATCGGAGGGCGAGTCGTGTCAGTCGGACGACGACTGTGAGGCCGGACTCAACTGCGCCTATGATGTCAGTTACGCCGTCAACCCCTCAGCCCTATACCAAGTGAAGGCCCGGCGCTCGTGTCGGGCGGTTATTGAGAGGGAAATGATGAAAAAACAGTATAGTATGTGTCCAACAATTACATACCTGTCCTTATTATTGACTAACATAACATAAGTAAAGTTAAACCTAACCTCCCCTAAAATAACATGAGATTCTATACTGTATAGCAAATTATGGTTATATGATATAAGTTATATCAATAGTATATTAGCAAGTTTATATGCTGTTTAATTTTCAAATTTTGTTTAGTTTTAATTTTGTACACTAGCTAAATTTAGATCGTGAAATGCATTAAATGTGTAGGGTTATTCCCACACAAGTCCCAAATAGTAAATACGTGTGTAGTTTAGATTATATTCAAATAAATATCATGTAGGTAGAATATTCTTGGGGAATACACATGTTTATAAACACTAATAAGCTACATTACTATTTAAATCCATGAATGACACAAATTTAATAGTAATTCTCAACAGTATAGTAAAGAGAATTCTACATACACGACAAATACTAGTCAACAAAAAATTAACTTAAAGGTCCCTGCACATTACAACTAAATTATACATACATTTAATTAATTTTGTTAATAATTTTTGAATAATAATTTTTTATCACAAATATTTTAGACAATGAATGCCAGACGAGCTCCGAGTGCGACGCCTCCCGGGGCCTGTGCTGTCAAGTGATCAAACGGCACCGACAGGCGCCCCGTAAGCTGTGTTACTACTTCTCGGACCCGCAGTCCTGTGTGGGCGCTGTGGACGTCACGTACGCGAAGCCTTTACATCATTTGCCAAACTCTAACGTATTGTTCAAAGCGAGAATCGGTTGAATACATAGGATATACAGAATATTCCGTATATTTATATATATATGTATAGAGATGTTATGTCCACTCATTTACCACACATTGGGAGCGCACAGGGAGGGAGGGGTCTATGTGGGGGCCGGTATGTGAGAGCCGACAGAAACAATATATATTGTCACACATATAGTCATAATACATACACTACAGTACAGTTTATAATGACATACTTCACGATATCTTATCATACCTTTCCCTTTAAGAAACCCGAGAAATACGTGACAAAAATTAATTATTTTTTGCGTTAATCTTAGTGTATGTGTCGATACATGTCAGGGATGCCGAGTACAGGGGCTGTCATATCATGAGACTTATATACAGTACTAACATTACAATACAATACAGTTTAACAGTAATATAAATTTAATACAAATAAGCTACTACAGGTATATTAATATGTACAGTATGTTCAATGTGTCTAGCATATTTATGCCAAATACTACTATTATAGTCTCTAAATTATGA